CTGATGCCAAGAGCTTTCAGAAATGTGAGCCCAGGAGCATCAGACTGTTGTTAACCACCCTGAGTGACACTGGCAGAGGAGCAGGCAGGACAGAAATGCTCTCAGAGGAAATTCAGACTTATTTTTAAAGAAGTTTGGTCATTTTCAGCGTTTGGCTGGTGTCCTCAGATGGATGTTCATCCAACCCTTTCCTTTTTCTCTTTTCATAAGACTGTGGCGCTGCAAGGTCAAGCATTTCATTCAGCTCTCCTTGTTGTGGTTCCCTCTGAGCTCCCCTTGCTGGGCTGGGCACGGGGACGGCAGCGCCGGTGGCCCTTGCCCTGCCTACGGGGCATGCCCCCGGCATTAGCAAAGCTCAGCTCCCAGCATTTGGCATGTACTTGTCATACACATGATGCTTATCCAAAAACAAGGTTGGGTACTTACCATAAGTTATAATTACCGTTTACAGAGAGCAAGAGCAAAGCCTTCCTGTTATCTACTCTGTTTGTAAGCCTTGCCTACACCTGGTTTTGAGGCATTAAACCAGGAAGGCATAATGCAGATAGCTTATGCTAGTTGCCTACACATATACGATTTTCACTCACTGAATGCTGTAATTACTTTTTGAAAGGGGAAGACTTGTCCTTAAAAGAGAAGAAAATCTACAGTTTACATTCCCAAATGATTATGAATCACTTACCTTAAACTGAAGAAATGTGACAGGCTCCATATGCATAAAAGAGGAAACAAAAGTTTCTTTTGCTTTTTGCTCAGTGTCTTGATGAGGGTTTTTTTCACAGCATATGGAATAATGATACCATTTTTAAAGACGATTTGCTGTCTTTCATTCATGATGTTTCTATCTCATGCATATGCATAACTGCAGGGGCTAGATCCTCTTCCATGTTAAAAAAAGGAACCGGAATAATACCCCTGAAATCCACTTTTCTGTTTGCATCTTCACTGATGTAATTGAGATGAAAATGTACCCCTTAGTCTCTTTTTCAGTGGTATATGGTCACAATGTACGGTGCCTGGATTTGAGTTTTTTTAACTGCATTAATTTGTGCAGTAGGGTGATAAACTGCCAAGTACCTGGAACAAGAACTATGCTACTGTGGCTGCCCCGTTGAGCAAGGTCCCCCTGTTCATCCGCGGAGGCTACATCCTGCCAGAACAGGCACCAGCCACGACCACTACTAAGAGGTAACATCATCTATGTCCGTCACCAAACAACCACGGTGCAGGTCAGACCCACAAACAGCCAGAAAAGCAATCAAAAGAAAGCGCAGAAGAGAGGCTATCTGCAGCTCCCAGCTGCCATCCCAGGTGATAAGCACAGTATTTTTACCCTGCTATTTGCTCCATTGCATTAGAAGAAGTGACCCCAGAGATCACCCACATCATAGTTTGCACAGCTGAAAGCTACTCCTGGCTCGCTGGTTATGCTCTGAAAAGCTTTTGCGCCTCGTACTGCCACAGTGACCTGCTGCCAGTGATTCAAAGTAAACATATGGAAGGGGAAAATGCAAAACTCTTCTCCTTGGATGTATTTCTCCAATGCCACAGGCAAGGTGGAAAAGCTTAAATCTCTTTTGAGGAAAATTATTTCCCCACACCAATGGGTAATATACTGGCCTCACATCTGAACCATGCTCAGAAGCTAATGTGAGCAGTGAAGGAAGGGAACAGCACTGTGCAGGAACTGAACCAAAGCACAGTAAGGTGACCAGTTGCCTCCCGGACTGCCCAATTATCACACATTAAGGCCACTAAAGAAGGGGAAACTTGTCCACATGAGCACTCGAAAAGTGGGAATTTTACACTTTAGTGGGACAAGGCAAGGTAAACTTTTCGTCATCATTTCAGGAGCCATTTTGGTGAGCATGGTTGTCATTCTTCTGTTGCGGCCTTTTTTGTAACCTTAAAATTAGAGTTAATTGTGTTCAGAAGTTTTTGCTAAATAACTTGGGACAGTGCCCGCCAGTTTGTACTGACACTTCTCAACATGTTTGTCAACAGCCGTCTGAATCCATTTGGGCTCATTATTGCCCTGGATGAACAAGGAGAAGCTTCTGGGTCTCTCTTCTGGGATGATGGTGATTCAATTGGTAAGCCTGGTTCCTCATTGTGAAGTAGTGTCTGTATACAGGGCTCTCCTCAGGCCACCTTTTCAGCAGTATAATGGCACTGACTCCTGCTAGAAATAGCTGGAGAACTGACCCTAAGTTGAACGTTACAGAGGTGAGAAGCAGAGTGCAGCGTTTTGATATGAGAAAGGTGTGGCACTGGGAACAGCTGGCCTGCTAGAGAGGGAAATCACTCATGTCGTGTTCCCCTGAGATCACCCTAAGGAGGCTAGAGGAAGAGATTAAATAACCCACAAACCATCTTACTCTGACCTTAGCCACTCGCTACAATTAATGTGAACTGATTATGGATTTTGCTCCTTGTTTTGACACCAACCCTCCTTGTTCTGTGTTTTGACAGATAGTATTGAAAAGGAGAACTACTTCTTGGCTAAATATACATACAGCAAAGTAAGTAGCAACATATAAGGTACCTACAAACATACAGGTAGCTGTATTTTAGTGTAGCCATTGTTAAGGTGCTGATGTCTAACTCTTCTCTGGAAAGCTTTTTTCTTACAGCTCAGCCTTTAGACCTGGTAAGCTATCTAATGCTTTCATTTACAGACAGCTACGAAATAATCCAACTATGATGCTGCAGTTTTGTGTTTGCTTCATTGAGTATCATAGTGACACATCATTAATGTCCCTGCTGTGATGTGAATCTGAAAATCCACTTTTTCAGCTCAGATTTTTATTCTTTTCTGAGTCGCTGCTTCTGGGGATGAGGGACCTTTTCCTTCTCTTCCTCCTGTGAACACTTTCAGTCTGATGGGTGGGAGATGGCTATGTTCCTCTCTTCAGGACATCCCAGCAACTTTTCAACTTTGATCACCTGAAGCTTGCATTTTGTGGCCAGAGAATTATGTAGTCTCACTTCTTTAGCTTGCGTTTCCTTGTCTGACAGCACGGAGATTGCTCCCATGGTTGGTCTCCCGCAGAGCGATTCAGCACGCTACAGGCAACCCACCGTGCTGATCAGATGCTCCATGCAGCACAGAACTAGACTAGCCCAGGCTCAGTGCACTAGTGCCTTTCACGCAGCGCTCACTTCTGCATAGACATGTCCTGAGAAAGCTCAATAGAAAAACCCAACAGGGTTGGGTTGAAGTCTAGGCTTCAATTGAGAAAAATACAATAAAATAAATCTACCAGAAGCTCATTAAGTATATGATAGTAAGTTGTGGGAGTTATTGTAAAAAAGCTTAACCTACTTCAGCAATCTACACAGATCGTATTTTATGTACAATTCCAGCACCTGGTAAGAAATAGGATATTGTATGTAGACCGTGGCATGGTTTTCATGCCGTGTATTCCTAAAAGCCCCAAAGTAGTCTACAGAAAATATTCAAAAGAATACAATCGTGTTAACCCCTATTGTGGTATTGCTCTTAGAATGTATGTCTACCAGGAGTGAGAGCAAGCCAGAGTAAACTGATGGGTTTTATGTTGTAGTCTTATATATTCATGAGATATTTTCCTGGAACTAATACCACGTAACTAGACTTTAAATTTAATTTTTAATTTATTTTCATCTTGATTTACCAAGAAAAAAAAATTTCTTCTTCTTCAAAAAAAGGATATTTCAATGGCAAAAAGGAAGAAAAATCACTTCAACTTGCTGTAGTCTGTGTATAGTAATTTATTGCAGGAAGGCTACAGAAGAACAATCTCCAGTTTTATATTAAATTCTGATCTGTGCAAATTAGATTGTTGGTTCACTGGCACTTCCATTTCTCATTGCTTATATTTGACTTCTGCCTGTAAATCCATGACTAAAGTCCCTATCTGCATTCCAATAATCTCTAATGTTGGTTTTTTCTTATGTGTTTATACAGACAAAAATTTATTTCAAACAGCAAATTGTAGAGGTATGAGAAATGTATGAAAGTCTTGTTATTTGTTGCACATTTCTATATTCCTAAAAAATTGTGGACGAATAATCACACCTTTTTTTTAGGAAAACACACAAGTTTTGGTCCCTAAGAAATTTACTGATAAGTTCTGACATCATAGCATTTACTGTGAACCCAGCACAGAGCATTGTGCAGGTAACAGCTCCAGGATTAGACCCTCTCATTTATATTTTCAGTTAAACAACCCAGAAGTACAAAGAAGAATTCAAGACTAGTGCAGGCACTTAAGTCTCAGAAAACAATTCAAGCTGCCTGCTCTCGGGTACTGTCTCACTGCGGTCGGTATTTTAATTCACTTGACACCTCTATTTTGACACGCATAATGTCTAAGTCACCTAAGTCAAATTGCCCCAAGTCAAAGTGCCCCATATATTAAGCCTACCAGTCTAGAAAAATACGTGAGCCAGATGTATAAGATCTGCTGTACTTCAGGGATGAGCAGGGAGAGCCATAAACTCTGCCTCCATCCCCAGGGGCGGCAGACAAGGCAGATGTGCTCAGGCCGTACCAAGTGAGTCCAGACACTAAAAGGGATGGTGATGAGAAGGCTTGCCCAAGGAAATGGGAGCTTCTGAAAGAATACGCTAGCCACCAGTCAACTGAATAGCCTGAGAGCAAGTTCCTCCTAAAACCAGTCCAATTTTCAGGGGGGAAATGTGGGGGGAAAAAGAAAGGTGAAGTTTGTAGGACCAGGGCAAGACAATAAGAAAGAAAAATCGTTACTCTGCTGCTTAGAAGTGCAGGAGGAAGTCCTGGCTTCTGGCCTCAGATCCAGGACTTGTTTGTGTTTTGCATTTATGGGGCTTTGAGTGATATCCATAAGTTCCCTCCCTCTGATGAGAACTCCGGACCTTCCTGGGCAACTGCTTTAACCATGTCGTGGTTTAACCTCAGTCGGCAACTAAGCACCACACAGCCGCTTGCTCACTCCCCCGCCCCGGTGGGATGGTGTAGAGAATCAGAAGAGTAAAAGTGAGAAAGCTCATGGGTTGAGATAAAAACAGTTTAATAATTGAAATAAAATAAAATACTACTACTAATAATAGTAGGAAGAAGAAGAATATACAAAGCAAGAGACGCACGATGCAATTGCTCACCACCCGCCAACCGATGCCCAGCCAGTCCCCGAGCAGCGGCCCCCCGGCCAGCTTTCCCCAGTTTATGTACTGAGCATGACGTCACATGGTATGGAATATCCCTTTGGCCAGTTGGGGTCAGCTGTCCTGGCTGTGCCCCCTCCCAGCTTCTTGTGCCCCTCCAGCCTTCTCAGTCGGTAGAGCATGGGAAGCTGAAAAGTCCTTGACTAGTGTAAGCACTGCTCAGCAACAACTAAAACATCAGTGTGTTACCGACATTATTCTCATACTAAATCCAAAACACAGCACTGTACCAGCTACTGGGAAGAAAAATTAGCTCTATCCCAGCCAAAACCAGGACAAACCACTCGCTGCTTGGGGAGGACAGGGTCACTCATTCCCCTGGACCATCACCTCCCTGTCTCCCCCAGACCTTCAGTTCTAGACCTTGGTCAGAGGGACAATGGTGTCTACTGCAGAGTTCTGGCTCAGGGCCTCAGAGCTCAAGTGCAACTTTATTTATTAATACAGTTGTAATCACTGAGTTCAGCATGACACCAAGTTTGCTGGGTCCATATGGCCACCTTGAGCTAGCTCTCCCACTTGGCCACATCTGAGACAGCAATAAATCACTGTAGAGAGGTGGTCCCTATACTGAACCCCCTGTATGCTGGAGCTTTGCCAATGGAGAGAAGACACCATATATAAGTACCCTAACACATTCTCCAGAGGCTTTTAGAAGCCTCTCCCCATTTGCTCCGTAATAGCCAACATTCCTTATTTAGGCAGTTTAAATCAGTGTGCTAGGGATCAGCACTTTTTAGTGTGGATGCCTGAAATAAGCAGTCTAAGCACAGTCCTAAGTTACAAATACTGTGATCTAGCTTCTGCTCCCCTCCTACCATGCACCATTGAAATAACATTAGCTAATTTATGCAAAAGGTTCCATCATGGGTTTCTCCTTGGCATATTTTTAAAAAGTCATGATTGCATAGCAATTCATCATTTCCTGAGCAGTGTAATTCATCTTTATTTCCTTAACAACTTTGATCACATAACAAATGCAATGATTCCTCTTCATTGCTTGTATGGGAAATTACTGTCACTGGAGATCCAAATGAATTTGTTTAATGAGTTTGTATGTCCTCTTGATACACCCTAAATACAGGATATATGGTAAATAAGAAGTATAACAAACAAGGCTCTGTGGACATACAGTGTTCCTTCAGTGTCCTTAAAGCTGGGACATACATAGCAGAGATTTCTAGCAGGAGCTGTGGAGATGTGGGACATAAAATATGGGCAAAATATCTAGTAGCTGATCCTTGGAAGATGCTAACGGTTTAAAGCAGTTAGTTGCAGATGTTAATTAAATCTGCCTTAAGGTCACTAATTGAATCTCCGTATCTGGATTTTGGCTTTGCATATGCCACTGTAGCCTGTAAATGGGTACAAGAAACAAATTTGCATTGATTACAAGTAGAAAAAATATGTCCAAGAAGATTCCAAATGAATGTTGTAAATGTTATTTTGTTTCTTACTTTGTTAGTTTATAATGATACACAAAACCTTTCTTATGTGAAAATTAATGTGACTGTTGTTTTTCCTTTACAGTCTCAGACTTTAATGTCTACATTGGAAGACATTCTATACATTCACTGACAAAGATGAGACCACAACAGTAACAGCATGCAGTAAGTCATCTCCAAAGAGTTGTCGTCGTCCTAAAATTTTCTCTGTGGCTTTTTCCAGGGAAACCTGAAGACAGAAATACTTAAAAATGGCTACCAAGGGGCTGACACTCTGAAGTACAACAAAATTACGATCTTGGCCTGAAACTGAGACCTCATGCTGTTGCTCTGAATGGAAGAGCTATCTGTGGAGATGCTTTCTCTTATGAGCTGAGTGGGGTAAGAGCTGCGCTGAGCAATTATGAAAAACCTTAGGGAAAGGGGGATAGTCAATGAGTTACAGGAACAGTTTCTCATCCACACCCCTTTACATTTCCAGTTATAAGCAGACACCAATTCTTGATACAACAGTCTGAGGTTGGGGCCAGGGTGGGGGAAGTGACAGCAAGGGCTTTTTTAGGAAACTTTAATCTTTGCTATTACACATACACTTGTTCTCTCTCTCATTTAGTGTCTGCCACTTATACAAGTTTTAAAACTAATGAAATAATGAAAAGAAGATATAGCTCCACAAACTGGGAGAAATGTTAGCAGTTTTATGGGTGTTATTATCATTCTGATAAAATGAGAAAACCTCTCAAAGTTATATATCAGCTGCTGAAAAGTAATGGAGATATTTTCTTACAACTGCCTAGTGTCCAAAAATGATTACAGCGTAGTTGGCTCTAACGAGTGTCTCCCTATCTTCAGAGGAGGGAAAGGTGAATCTCTGCTGTACATTTGTTCCTAAGAAACTATCACTACAGTGAGACAACAGTTACAGTTTCAGTATCTTAAATTGTCCAACCTCAGTGTCCCAGATAAAAATGCATGACTTGCTTGCGCAGTGCTCCTTCTCTAGCACCAACAAGGAGACACCCCAGAGGGGATGGACTGAACGCCCCTAATGAACAGCTGTGACAGCCTCTGTGGTCCCAATTTCCTTTTCCACCGGAGAATAGACAAAAGGAGCAACACTGAGTAAACTTCCCTTGCTCTGGTCACTTGTCCCATATCTGTCACCAGCCACCAAGCTGAAGTGGGTTGTGCACACTTTGTATGAGATGTGGTACTCACATCTCAGCACTGGTCTGCATCTGGGGAGCTCCCAGTACTAACACGATAAGATGCCACTAACTCATCATTCAATCAAAGATGGCTGAGGCAACAAGCAATAGATGTCACGTCTTATGTTACTCTACCCACTTGGCTTAATGATTTAAGTTTATTTGTAAGCAAAGTGGGACTCCCATTATATGCACCTGGTTCCAACATTTATTTTATTGAAGGAATCTGTAAAAGAAGAAAATTGCCGAGAATAAATTTCTGCCTTGGAGAATCGTAAAAATCTCACTTTCAGAGACGATGTCATAAATAAGGGTAATCAGTATTGCCTCAAGGGAAGAAACTGTTTAACAGCCAAACTGCCTCTAAGAAAGCTGAAGGCAACATAAATGTGGCAGGGTAAAGAAAACATTCCATTGAGATGTGCTTGAAGGCGCCAATCACAGAAATCCAGAAGATAACTGCATATTAACAGTGTCACATAAAAAGTATCATTTAAAATTTGATTTAAGCACAAAAGCTGATCTCAGTGACTTAAGAACTACTTCAAAAAACAGAGAAAAAAACACCAAGCTGCTGTAGTAGGAAAGGTCCAAAACTGCACAAAAATTACATTATGTAACTCAGACAGTAACCTAAACCAGCTAAATATGTTCCTCGTACAATTCTAAGAGATTCAGTCGAACCTCTCCCACCATCCCTGTACAGATGTTGTAACGCCATGACCTATAATCCTCTCATGTTTGAGTCTCTCTTAAAAAAAAAAGCACTAGCAGCTTGGGTTTAGATCTTGAGAACTTACAATCCATGTAATAAAAAAACGCCCAAAATCTAAAGGGCAAATTTGCCACTTTCTCACAGGCTTAATGAGATTACATACTGTATAATAGTTTAACAAGCACAAAGACTGTACTGTTTGAAGGGATGTAGTGGAAAGTAACTTCTACCATATTGCTTTTGCTTTACAGAAAGCAAATTTGCCTAAAAGCAGTGCTTAAGTGCATAATTGAGCTATAGTTATTTGTGTATAAATAGAAGCAGTTCGCTTAGTAATAAGCTGCTTTTTTCTCTCTGATTCATGCAGTGCTACCCTGATCTGACATTTGTAATATCACAGAATCTTCCTATTATTAGGAGTCTCCATCTTTTTCTTTCCCCATGGAGTACTGTACCCTAAGAGCCACAGCAACTGTGTTGTAACTGCAGCAGGGATGCTGGAGGAGCACTTCTGTTGTGCTTGTGCTGACAACAAAATGACCTGGGCATAGGAACGTTCTCCTTTTGCTTCCACTTGCATCCTCTGCTGGAAAGTGCAGGGAGGTTCCCACTGTCCGTAGTTCCCCATGTCCATGCAGTAGTGCAATCTGGAGCAGTCCTTCTGGCTGCCTGTCGCTTTTAGGTTAGCGTTTGGATGGGGTTGCAGTATTTCTGTCTGGATCTGGCCCTGTATTTGAATAAAAGGCAAATCATTCAAGAAGTGGAATTCCTACTTACCAAGTAGTGGTAGAGGACTGTTTCTGATGAAAGATGAAAACATTACATACGTTGAAGAAGTGATCTAAGCATAGACTGCTAGAGTGATGTTAACATGAATTTGTGGGTGGGCAAAGAAATAGCTAAGACGTGTGCATGGATATCATGGATTTTAAGAGACTATTAATTCCGAAACCTAAAGATAAAACTGGTGAAGTACTGAAAATGGAAATTATGAGTAGCATAAAACACATCAAATTTAACATTGAACAGAGAGAGAGCAGGACAGGTATTGTATTTATAATTTCACATTTAATTCATGTTATTAATTAATTTTGAACTGTTCCTGAATTTCTAAAAGGGATGTTGAATTGGATACAGCAGTAGAAAGATGCATACTGCCATCAACTCAGTCTTGCCTACCAGATGAGGTTAAGGGAATCATGAAGGTCTAAGCTCAAGTTTCCCTTCTTGTTCTCTGTTTTGAGCTGGTCTTTTTTATGGTAAGATAAAGTTGTGCATTATTTTTGTGGTTGGTTTTTTTTTTTCACAGAAACTCACTTTATGGATTTCTGCCCCACTTACTCAGGAACTCAACATTATGATTTACTAGAATGGTCAGAAAACACTGACGTAATTTAGCATCCTTGGCCCTCAGATATTGATCTTACTTTGATTTTAATGTAAAAAAACATTTAGCCATTAAAACATTGCTTATGTACCAGATGACTGTTCTTTTCCTATGTAGTATTTGTAACTCAGTATTCTTCAAATAAAATTTTCAATAGTAGTTAATGAATATTCCCATAAACTGATGTGTGTTCAAAATAGCATAGAAGAAATCATGTTCTCTGTTTTGAGCTGGTCTTTTTTATGAAAAGAAAAAGTTGTGCATTTTTTTTGTGGTTTGTTTTTTTTTCACAGAAACTCACTTTATGGATTTCTGCCCCACTTACTCAGGAACTCAACATTATGATTTACTAGAATGGTCAGAAAACACTGACGTAATTTAGCATCCTTGGCCCTCAGATATTGATCTTACTTTGATTTTAATGTAAAAAAACATTTAGCCATTAAAACATTGCTTATGTACCAGATGACTGTTCTTTTCCTATGTAGTATTTGTAACTCAGTATTCTTCAAATAAAATTTTCAATAGTAGTTAATGAATATTCCCATAAACTGATGTGTGTTCAAAATAGCATAGAAGAAATCCTGGAAGTTCTCTCTCACCACAGATGGAGATAACACTTGCAAACGTTCTCAATGGGACCATATTCTGTACAGCATACGCTGGTTTTTGGGGTTTTTTTTAAACCTATGGTGGCAAAAAAAAAAAGGAACAACCAGATAGTCAGCTTAACTCACATAGCCCTATTCTGGGGGAGGCAATGTGTGTTTGTCAGGAGAACGCGTGGGAAACACAGCTAATCAAAGGTTGGGGATACCTAGATCTACTTTGTACTTCAGCTATTTCTGGCTGCAGAATAATCTCCCAAGACCATAAGAAGCTCCAGCTTGTGGAAATGGCTCTAAGGAGTCACGGTTATTTTAATAACATAATACATAATCAGCCATCAATACAATATATAATACAGATCATATATAATATAATAAATACTAATAGAATATTATATGAAAAAGTATACAATCAGCTGGTATAAATCAGCCAATAGTTCCAGACTACAAAATCTACAACTGTAGTGATCACTTGCTTTTGTCTCCTTTTCCATGTTCCTGAACTGTAATAAATGCAGCCCAGGCGTGTCTTGGGATCCAGCGATCACAGAGAGAATTTGTTGAAAACCTGGGGGTTTTCTTTTGAGAATCTGGTTCTCTCTGGAGACTTTTCCCAGTGCTAGAGTAGCTCTTACCACAGCAAATGATTGGTGCCCTTAAATGTACACATTTAAGGGCACCAATGTACAAATGACAGGAGGGATCCACATCATAGCAGGGTCAGAGCTTCACAAACTCAGCTGTTCCTACGCTTTTAACTCTAAGCAAAAAAACTCTTTTTACCTTTGTTGATATTTATTCATGAGAAACCTGAGTCACAATTTGCAACTGTAAGAGCTTTAATAGTAAGCAGATACTCCAGTAAGGAGGTTGGGAAGGGACTGTGATCCAGTTTAGGCTGCTAGCACCAGCTCTCCCTTCCCCAGCGGTGAAGTTCCCTCAGAAAGTTTCAGGCAGTGCTAAGCTTCACCTCAAGCTCTTTAAGGTGCTCGTGACTCTTCCTATTCCTGTCTCCCACCATAACAAAAATGTGTGGAAAATCCTACTCGTGGCAGAAATGCCGTGTCAGTTCCCAGCAGATTAATTCTGCTTCCAAAACTCTGCAGGGAAAGACCTCAGCCACATTCTACTCCTGCAAAAAGCTCCCCAACACTACTTCTCCATGGGAAACGGCTCCTGATGTAGAGACATGAGTGCGAGTGCAGTGTGTTTTAACAAGAATGTCTGATTTTCACAATGTTCGGTTCTAGACCACTCAAAAAGGATTTCATCCAGGTGTTTTTACATGATCACATTTCTTCTGAATTAGCCAGGACACACAACACAGCAGTAAATTTCTCCAGTTTATGTCAGCTGCAGGAAGACAAACACAGTTCTGCCTGGCTGCTAAAGGTTGC